TCGTGTGTGCTTGCTCGGTGGGCTCAGAGCGTCAGTGTCGCTACACGATGCGTGCTCAGGATCCATGACATTGCAGAACCTGCCTGTCAGTAGTTTCCAAGCAACCGAACTGTCTCACGCTCCGGTTTCAGCAGACACGGGAGCCAGCCGGCCACTGCCGCACCCTGACCCCAGCCTCGGGCGGCACTGCCGCGCCCCGCCCCCAGCCCCGGGCGCCCACTGCCGCACCCCGCCCCCAGCCTCGGGCGGCCACTGCCGCGCCCCGCCCCCAGCCCCGGGCGCCCACTGCCGCGCCCCGCCCCCAGCCTCGGGCCTCACTCACCGTGGTCCTGCTTCCGCTGTCTTTTCCTACGTTTTATTTGTAAGGTGCTGTAGATAACCTGAATATATTATGCACATATCCTGCCCAATGGGTAGAACAAACATTGTTAATACTGTGATATAATGTATAGATACCAATTTTAAAAGAAAGGGCATAGAATTTGTGCCCTTTTGTAAATTCAACGACCAGAAATTTGCAAATGGATGCATCCAGATAAAAGTCTATGTAGTTTATTTTTCTATTAAATATCACTATTGCCCTGGCCGGTTTGGCTCAGCAGTTAGAGCATCAGCTTGCGGTCTGGAGAGACCCGGGTTCAGTTCCCACTAAGGGCACGTACCTCGGTTGCAGTTGTCCCCGGCCCTGGTTGGGTCATGCAGGTGGCAGCCACTCGATGTGTCCCTTTCACGTCAATGTTTCTCTCTCTCTCTCTTTCTCTCTCTCTCTCTCTCCTTCCCACTCTATCTGAACAACAACAAAAATGGAAAAATGTCCTCGGGTGAGGATAAAAAAAAGAAAAAAAAAAGAATTAAATATCAATTTTATAACACAAGGGAAAGGAGTGTGAACAAGCAAGCCACAGTTTGTCACCAGCATATGTATAGCAATTGAGAGTTGCATCTTTCCTGTGAAAACACTTTAAAAAAATAAGTTTAGCCCTGGCCGGTTTGGCTCAGCATCTGCCCATGGACCAAAGAGTTCCAGGTTTGATTCTGGCCGAGGACACCTACCTCAATTGTGGTTCGTCCCCAGCCCTGGTCGGGGTCGTGCAGGAGGCAGCCAGTCGATGTGTCTCTCTCACATCAATGTTTCTCTCTCTCTCTCCACCCCCAACCCTCTCCCTCCCTTCCACTCTATCTAAAGATAAATGGAAAAAATATCCTTGGATGGGGATTAAAACATAATATTAAGTTTTTAAAATTCCATAGCCACTACAAGCTCCCCCTCCCATTCTATCGGAACAAAAAATGGAAAAATGTCCTAGGGTGAGGATAAAAAAAAAAGTAATTTGCCCTGCAGCAGAGGACTGTTCAGTACAGAGGCTTTTATGACCATCTGTGTTCTGCGTCTCCCTCTACCTTTTTCTTTCACAAATTGAAGCTGTAGAGCTAATGAAATAACAGTAGACTTTGTAGGGAAAGAATACCTCAGGAAAACTGAATCCACTAATAAGTCCTCATTCTTCGAAAAAATGTCATTGTGGGTTATGGGTCATGATTATCATAGATTAGCTATCAGCCTGCTGAGTGAAGAATCTTATATCCATTCCTTTTGGTGTCTTATGGTGATCTTGACCCAAAAAACAAATTAGTCCAGCCACCGGCCAGGGATTACACTTGCAGTGCGTGCCATGTCACGGTCTCTTACACAGCGTCTGCTTCCAGATCAGTTTTTAGTGTCTGACTGTGACCTCTGCATGTATCCGCAAATATTCTCATATTACAAAAAGAAAAGCCCACAAGAACGTGTTTACTAAACCAATGTTGATCATGGGTGTGAGCATCATTTCCAGGGTAGCCTGTCACTAGAAAATATTAATTTCAATAAATTCCATGGTCACCTGGTCGGTGTTGCTCAGTGACTAGAGTGTTGGCCTGTGGTCCAGAGAGACCCGGGTTCAGTTCCCGCTAAGGGCATGTACCTCAGTTGCAGTTTGTCCCCGGCCCTGGTTCGGTTGTGCGGGTGGCAGTCACTCGATGTGTCCTTTTCACGTTGATGTTTCTCTCTCCCACTCTATCTGAACAAAAAATGAAAAAAATGTCCTCGGGTGAGAATAAAAAAGAAAATTCCATGGTCGTCTGGCCGGTGTGGCTCAGTGGTTGAGTGTCGACCCATGCACCAAGAGGTCACCGGTTCAATTCCCGGTCAGAGCACATGCCCAGGTTGTGGGCCAAATCCCCAGTGGGGGGCATGCAAGAAGCGGCCGATCAATGTTCTCTCTCATTGATGTTTCTATCTCTCTTTCTCCCTCTCCCCTCCCTCTCTCTAAAATAAATAAAGATTAAAAAAATAATAAAAAAATAAATTTCATGGTTTATATTTGCAAGAAAAAAAATATTATGTCTATCATGTCTTTGATTTCCCTCAGATGTGTGCATCTCTAAGCAATAAAGCACCGTTAAATTATGAACGTGTTCCAACTCCATATCAATGATGTCATACGCTGGCTTTCTCTCTGCATCTTGCGTTGTCTGCTCAACTTTGCTCTGACGTTCATCTCCAGTGTGCATGGCTGTATCTGACTCTTTCCCACTGAGATACATTCTTCTTTGCAGAATTACATTTTATGACGTTTTATTCTCCTGTGCAGAGGCATTTGGATTACTTGAAGTGTTTTGTTATTACAAAGAATTGTGCTGCGAGCATTTCTGTACATGAAATCTTTGGCAGCTACGTAGGGGTCGCTTGGGATATAACTAGGAGAAAAATTGCTTTGCAGGATGATGCTCTGTTTCAGGCATCAGCACAAGGGACCAGTTTCATTGCTCAATATCCTTGTGCATCTTGGTAGGGGGGAACTCTTTGTTGTCTTGGTTTTAGTTTTTCATTTCCTGATTATTAGTGATGTTAAGCATCTTTACATATGTTTTCAACCCCTTTTATGTGAAGTGCTTGTTGATAGGTCCATTTTTCTTCTGGATTTCTGCTTCTCTCCTGCTTGATTTTCAGGAGTGTTTTCTAAAGGCCGGACTACCGTCCTCTAGCTCTGTGCTCAGAAAGAGCTTCCCTCCCCGTCTCCAGTGCCCTTTCACAGGAAAGTTTTACATTTTAGTTGGGTGAGATTTATCAGTCGTTTGGGGTTTTGTTTAAATAATTCTTACATTATTATGAGAACATTATGCTATATTCTCTTCCAAATGTTTGATGTTTTAGCTTCAAACATGTAATCCTTGACACGCATGGCACCGATTTTCCCTGCAGTGAGACTCGGGTCCGATTTCACTCTCCCCTCGTGTCTTATGAACAGCACCCACGCTCATTGATGCGTACGCCTCTGCTCCAGTAATCTGCAATGCCACCGCTATTTTCTAAGTTTCTAGACATGAGTGAGTTTGTTTCTGGTGCCTGCTATGAGCCACTGATCTATTTTCTTACCTCTGAGCTGACCCCACACCCTTTTCCTCATCACTTTAGTGAATCTTTATATTTGGCAAGTTCTCTCACTTTGTTCTCTAGGGTCTCTTATTCTGAGAAAAGACACTGCACATTTTGCTACTTTATTATAACTGCTACAACTAACGTGGCAAGTTCCACGAAGAGTCCTGTGTCTCATGGATTTCAACATTGACGTTCCTGAGAAAATGATTCTAATTTGAAGTGATCAAGGTTAGCATTGCGAGTCCTAAGCCACATTGCCATTGTGGCCTCTTGGTAGGATGTGTTCTCTCCCATCTGTCAACCTCTAGTATTGCCTGTTCCAAACCACTCTCTACCTGCAGCCTGAAGAATCTCTGAAAATGTAAATATAATCATGTCTTTTGAAAACGTACAATGGTTTCCTGTGGCCTTCAGAAACAAGTCCAAAATCCTTAGCCCCTCCAGGCCCTCCATGATTGGACCTTAGCTTCCTTTTCAGACGTGTCTCTCCCTCACCCCTTTCCTCTGGTCACACTTTGCGATGTCATTAGCATCACACCCTCCCACCCCAGCTCACAGCTGTGTAGCCTTGTGTCCCAAAGTTCCCTTTGGAATAGCTGGAAGACTGTTGATGCTTCAAGCATCTCCCATCTTTCCTCTGTCCTCCTCTCTGCTCTCACACTTACACTTTTTTTTTTTTTTCAATATCATGAAATGATACCATCTTGCCCATCATGAGGAGTTTTGAGGAACTCATTCAGTGTGGAAGCTGAGGATTGTAAACAACAGAATACTGATGAAACATGGCTTTAACGATAGGTATTTGTTTTTCTCACAAAAGAACAAATTCACAGGAAGGTGGATCCAGGATTGAATTCAGCTGCTCAATGATGTCAGGGCAAGTTTCTTTCTTTTCACTATTCCCTCATGGTCACAAGGTGGCTGCCAGCAACAAGAAGGTGGCAACAGCTCCCAGCACGAGAAAGAGGAAAAAAGTCTTCTCTTCATTATTGTGCATTTTATCAGGGAGGAAAATATTGTCTCAGAAATCAACTATGAGACTATCTTTCATGAGCCCTTGGTCAGAACTGTCCCAACTGCAAGGGACATGGGGCAGTTGAGTGTCAAACTGCTACTATAGGAGGCTGCCTCTGCCCAGGAGGAGGAGCTGAGGGACTGGCCTTGAAAAGTGCTGATCATGACCTTCCTGCTTCTACTGTGAACACTAATGGTCCTGACCTTTCTTCTGTATGGATTTGTGGAGGCAAGGTACCCTAAATTCAAGGCTATTTCAAATCTATTTGCTAGTACCTAGAACTATTCTGTCCAATATGGTCACCAATGGCCACATACAACTTTTTAAAATTAAATTTACACTAATTAAAATTCAGTATAATTTAAAATTCACTTAGATGTTTAAGTGTCTCTTTTTTGAAACCCGGGGAGTGTTGGCTGGTTTATAGACCAGCTCACTTTCATTCAAGCAAATGTGGAATGAGAGAAAGGACATGTGTCCCCTCAGAGCAAGACTGTTAACCTGCGGGTGACCACCTCCGGCGGACTCGGCCGCATCTGCACGGGTCCTCATATTTATTTCATTTTAAATATGGAACCTTCACGAATTTGCATATCATCCTGGCACAAGGGCCATGCTGACCTTCTCTGTGCCGTTCCGATCCTAGTCCATGTGCTGCCAAGTGAGCACTGCCCAGGTTGGTTTGACTGCATGTGACATTCTGGGCCCAACGAGGAAGAAAAATGATTAAGTGTCTAGTAGAGGTTGTTCTTTTGAATCATTTTAGCTGCAACCAAAGCAATGCTCTTTCTACCCCTAGTGACTTTACATGTTGTTCGTAGCTGCTCTAGTGGTTATTGCTGCTCAAATAGCGAATCAAACTGAACACTGAGGGTAGTTTTTGGTTTTCATAAAACCATTTTAATGAGACCATTTCAAGATATAAAACAGCATTTAGAAAAGTTTAGAAAGATATTATTGAAAATGGTGAGATTATTAAACTTAAAAGACTTTATTTATTTATTTATTTATTTATTTATTTATTTAATCCTCACCCGAGGACACCTTTCCATTTTTCGTTCAGACAGAGTGGGAGAGACAGAGAGAACCATCAAAGTGAAAGGGACACATCGAGTGGCTGCCACCCGCACAACCCAACCAGGGCCGGGGACAAACTGCAACCGAGGTACATGCTCTTAGTGGGAACCGAACCCGGGTCTCTCTGGACCGCAGGCCGACACTCTAACTGCTCAGCCAAACCAGCCAGGGCTAAACTTAAAAGACTCTTAAAGTGTAATATATAAAAATTATTGCAATTTTTTGCCCTGGCTGGTGTGGCTCAGTTGGTTGAGTGTCGTCTTGAGTACCTAAAGGTCACCAGTTTGATTCCCAGGCAGGGCACATGCCCCGGTTGTGGGCTGGATCCCTGGCAGGGGAGGGCAGGAGGCAGCCAGTCCATGTTTTATTCTCTCTTTTCCTCTCTTTTCCTCTCTCTCTAAAATATATATACACAGTCTTAACATGTCTTATAATGAATATATGATTCTTTTACAAAAACCAGAAACTATACTAAGACAAAAGAGAAGAAACCATCACCTCTAGTAGCCCACTTGCTGGAGTTCACTAGTGTTAACATTTTGGTGTATATGTTTCCACATCTTACTTCTCCATTTATCCATTTACATTTGTTTAATTATCAGAGAAATTAAATCTGTTTTAGAAGTTGTTAAAAGTGTACTGCAGAGTGAGCACGCTTCTACATCTAGCGTGTACATGTGTACAATGGATTATGTGCATGTACTGAGTAGGTATTGTCCACACATATTTTTAATAAACTTTATTTCTATTTGTTACAGAGTATATAATTTAATGAAATATACTTATATAAACAGCCTGGTATTGTAGGAAATTACAGTTTGTTGCTATCATAAATATATTGCTGGGTGCAGTCCTCTTATTTATTTAGGATAATTGCTCAGGACTCTTAAGACAGCGAGACTCAGGGCTCGGGAAGCAGAGAGCAGCCGCCTCCACAGCGGCTCCAGGTACCGCCTCAGGCCAGGCCAGGCCGGGGCGGGGCCTCTCGCTGGATCCTGCGCGCTCCCCGGAGCAGGCCGCTCCTCGGGCTCTGGAGCAGGTGGAGAGACAGGGTCAGGCACATGCCTGGCTTCCCAGGGCCTTTCCAGAGACAGGAGAGATGCCACTGCCCTTAGGTGACCCCGCCCCTGAGCCTCCCCTTGCCCAGGTCATCTTCCCAGACTGCAGGCCCCTCACCTGCTGGCTTTGCCTCAGGGGGTTCTAGATGCTCCAGCTTGACACAGAGGACGTGGGCAGAGCCCACCTGGTGTGAGGCAAGAACGCTGACTTGCACCAAGGCCTGCTGCACCTCGCACCCGGGGAAGCGTAGTGGCGGGCCGATACCCTGCACCTGGTCCGGCCAGGCTCCCATCACAGAAGCTATGGCCCTGGGGGAGGCAGGAGGGCAGCAGAGTCAGAGTCCTGGTCTCTCCTCCCGCACGGCCCTCCCATGGCACCCTGGTTTGGGAGCGGGCCTCTGTGCCTGCCTGGCCCATCCAGGGGTCAGCCCCATCCCCGGCCCCTGGGGCTGTCCTGGGAGTCACAGGCCTGGTGACCGAGCAGGCTAACACAGAGTCTGTGTGAGTCTCCTCTTCCCCCCGAGAGCTGTCCTGGAGGCCTGTGCACTGCCCACCCAGCCCTCTGAGCACTGGGCACCTGGACTGAGGACTGAGACAGGGTGTGAGCAGCCTGCTCCCCACGTCCTGTTCTGGGCCTGGCGATGGTGGTCAGGGGAGTGGGTGCAGAGAAAGCAGGCAGCCCAGGACGGTCTGTGGTGGGGATGGGACTCCTGGGGACAGCTCACCCAGCCTCCCCTCTGGTTATAAGAGGCCAGGGAGCCCACCCACAGTGCTCTCTGACCCTGTCCTCCTGGAGTGGAAGCCACCAAACCTCAGCCCTCCCTTGGGAATCAGCAGACGTGTAAGATTAGGGTTCTGCCAGCCCCTGTCCACCCGCAGCCCTCATCCTGTTGTCACAGGAAACCCTCCTCCTTCTGGACCCAAAGACCACTCACTTTTTCAATTGGTCCTGGGGTGTGTCACCCTGGTCGTTATATGGCTGCATATTTCCAGATGTAGAGAACACCTGGATGGCATCAGATCTGATGGAAGGTGGGCAGCACCTGTAAATGACATCTAGTGTGACAGTCTGACTCGCTGACTAGAACTGAGGCCCAGGCTCTGTGTCTGCTTCGTTCCCTGAGTCAGGCTAAGTGTCTCCAAAGTGCCTGCTGTCAGTAGGAGCTCAATGCACATTGTCCAGTCAATGAGCTCCAACCAGAACCATCCGGACGTCTGAGTGGGCCTGGGGCCCCTGCTGTCCCCAGACATCCCTAATCTGGCCACACCAAGGACCAGGACAAGGACCAGCCAGGTGGAATCTCAAACTGCTTGACAGACATTTTCCCATGTGCTTTTCCAAACTCAGATGCCGCAGGCTGCCGATGGGGGAGTCAGGGCACTTCTCACGGGGAGAGAGAAATAAGTGCCAAGAACGGCCGCACATGCTCAGCAGCCCTCTCTGCAGAGCCAGGCAGAAGGTCAGACCTGCCATGGCTTGTCCCCACAGTAGTCCCTGCAAGAACCCTAGCAGGCTTATCCTCTATCCCCTGCTTTTCAGAGGAGCAAGCCGAGGCTCAGCGAGATGTGGTGCCATTTTCAGGACACAGGGCTAGCAGTGGACTGAGTCACCACCAGGGGGCGTGTGCTCACCTAGTTAACAGCTGGTCCAGGAACAGCTGGGCTCTGCAGAAGGCCGGGTGGATGGACATGAAGGTGGGGATGTGGGGAATTTTTCCACGTGGGAAAGCTGGTACCATGGACACCACCATCTTCTCCAGTGTGCCTTCCTGGAGGGCACACATCCTGCAGGCCTCACGGAGGTTAAGAGTTACCTGGGCAGCACACTGGGTGGGACAAGGAGGGACATCCAGTTGGCGACATCACCATGAACCCAGGAGGATGGAGGTCTGGAGGTCACCCTGGAACTGCCAGCCCGCAGGACATGTGCGAGAGGAGGGACAGGGGTGCCCATGCCCAGTGAGGTTCTAGGTTCTAAAAAAACATTGAAGTTTGGTGGATGGGGGATTGTTTATATAATTATGACCTAGGTGTGTTTTTAGCTGAGGAACATCAGACCTCCTGTATTAATAGTTTGTATGGAGGACATGGTCCCAATGAGTCCTCAGCACATCACCACTATAGAGATGTGAGCACAGAGGCTTAGGATGTCAGATGGCTGCTCAAGGTCATACAGGTCAGAACTGAGAACTGTCCTGCATGATGCTCCCTCTCAGCTACCTGAGACTCGTCTGTCCTGACATGGAGGGAGAGGGTCTGGGAACCTTGTCCCTCCCTGGTTTAGAGAGAGTATACAGAATTAACACACCTAGGAAAACCAATGACTTCAAAAAAGACACTTATTTCTCCTCCTTTTACATTAAAGTGAGTTTTGAGACTCTCATTATGGAGATCCCAGATTTTACGAAGGGGCCGATGCCTGGAGACTCCAGGCTGGAGAAAGCCGACCACGAGGCCGGGATCTGAGCAGGTGACACGGGAAGGAGCAAATCCACGTGGCTGGTGAAAAGCTGATAGTCAGTCCAGGTACCCCAGAGGCAATCGCCAATCAAGGAACACTGACTGCCTTGGGCAGCTTGACGTCAGATTGGTAAACATTTCAATGAGTGAGAAACCCCCAGGCCGGGGGGGAGCAAGGCAGCAGCCACCACCAGAAAGTGCTGTTGGCGACCTCACTGCCACAGCCTCTGGATGTGGATCCGCCTGCAGCTGTGAGGACAGCCATGTGCACGTCCTCCCCTGCACTGGGCGTCCATCTCTGAGGGACGGTATATACTGTGGTGTGGATTGTGTCACCCTATTTCCATGACTTTGGAACCCTGGAACTTCAGTGTGTGATTGAATTTGAGTGTTAGTCTTTAAGCAAGTAACTAAGGTCATGGAATTCAGTGGTGTGGGTGTTAATCCAATATAATCGGTGTCCTTTGAAGAGGAGGGGTGGACTCATGGAAGTGCAGAGGGGAGTCCCTGTGACACAGATAGAAGACGGCCGCCAGCCACGAGCCCAGGAGACAGCCCTCGGGAGGAACCAGCCCTGCTGACACCCTCCCCTCCCCCTTCTACCCTCTGTGTTCACACAGCCAGTGCGGGCCCACGTCACGGCAGCCCGAGCAAACTCCCACAGTCCCTTCGGACACACTCGGTGTTCCCGGCCGCCCTGCTGACATGGCACCTGGACTGCACCAGGGCCAAGGTCCGGCGGCACTGAGAGGGGCATCGCTGTGGCAGACGCCCTCCGTGTTGGAGGAGGTCTGCAAGGACAGGGGAGCTGCCTCCACAGGACCCCTGGGCCTGCAGTGCACCAACAAAACAGCAACATGCAAATGTGCTCCTGGTCTGCTGGGAAGGAAACAACTGTTTTCTCTATTGTTCCTGCAAGTACGTAAGGAGTGGCTTTCTACCCTCCTGTAGCCGGTGGGGGAATGGAGGTCCAGGTTCCTTGGTGCACGGGACTGTGGACACTCCAGTGGGAAGCCCTGGAGGTCCCCCGGGGAGTCCCCAGATTTGAGTCTGGGTTCTTGACCCTCTCTGGCATCTTGGGGGTTTGGGTGTGGAGACTGCCCTGGGCCAGCTCTCACCTCAGACTGGCACTGGCCGGCGTCGTTGGCCCGGTGCACCTGCACCCTGACCCGGTAGGTGGTGTAGTCGGGCCCGCGGGCCAGCACCTCAAGGATGTCCTCGCTGGAGCTCTGCAAAGACCAAGCCGGGTACTGAGGCAGGAGGATCGGGAAGCTTCCACCCCACCTGTGGTCCTGGGAAGTGGCAGACCTAGCAAACTGACACAGTCTGTGAGGACACAGTGAGGCTGATCCCAGCAGCACCCCTTGAACTAGCAGCAGAACCGAAATCATGTCAAGGTCAGCAGCACTGAAAGGCTGAGTCACTGAGGAAAACGACATCCTTCCTGGGCTGATATGGAGATGAACAAGGCCACACTCCAGACCTGGCCCGCCTCCTACTTGCTCTGTGAGATGACAAGTTGCAGAGACATGTATCCAATCCCTAATCCCTCCCATTTCCCTTTGCTACGAAACACCGTCAAGTGTGAGGGTGTGTAAGGCTTGGACACGGTCTGCAGGGACAGTCCAGCCGACTGCCCCACAGAATACCCGAGGCAGCTAGTTAAACAATGAAAACCAGCAAAACGCAAAGACAACATTTTTTTCTCTTCAATTCCAACAAATACGTAAAGACTGTATTTCTACCCTCCAGGAACCTGGTCAGGAGGATTGGAGGGACAGACTTCTTTGGGAGCGGGCCTGTGAAACCTTTAAGGCCCTTAGGGTCCTGGGTGTGGGCCAACCCTACCTCAGACCGGCTCTGGACGGGCTTCCTGGCCTGGTGCCCTCCTGTCTGGTACCGGTTGAAGGCGTAAGTGAACCCGTCAGCCAGCTCCTGCACGGTCTCTGGGGCGGGCCTCTGCAAAGACAGGCCCGGGAGGGTCAGGGGCCTGCATGGCCATTCCCCCGGGGGGAGATGCCCACTACAGATTCTTCCCCGAGGATCGGGCACAGAGGGGCTTCTGCAGACCTCCAGGTAGGAGGGAACAAGGTGACACCTTGACCCCAATTAACAAGTGGGCAGATGGACTGGGCCCCAGCACTCGCCTTCCCTTCCTGCCAGCCGGGACCTGGGCCATGAACATGACAGACCCGCCAGGCTTCCGACACCTAACAACCTGCTCCTGCCCAGGACGAGCGCCCCTCATCCCACGCTCTCCCGCACCACCCCCGACAACCATACATACCCAGGAGGAGGGGTAAGAGGGGTGGGGCTGCCGGGGTGGGACCCCAGTAGGGACCTGGCCTGGATGGGCCTGTCCTGGGCTGCCCTCGGGTAACTGAGGCTGCCTCGTGCCAGAGGACGAGGGCTGTCGGCGGTGGCGCCTGCGCCAGTTTCTACAGCAAGAGAAACATCCCTCACTCCGGGTTTTCTTTAGCCCAGAGCCTCGGGAGCTCGGGAAGCAACAGAGAAACATCCTAGTCTCCTGACTGTCTCCAGTCAACTGAACTGGATGGGAGGTTGTCTCTAGAATGAGGGTGCGTGGTTACCACTTCTAATTTCAGTTGGGGATCTGTCACCAAGGAAGTGAGGTCACTCCTTCAAGGTTCCGTGACCAGGGCCCCTTCCTCCAATCAGAGCCACTTAAAGCCCCCTCTGGGCTGTTGGCCACTCGGCCTTCTCCCCCAGGTCATCTCCACACCTGTACACCATAACCTACCTCAGCCTCCCCACAGCTCCTGGGACTGTCCCAGGTCCCCCGCGTGGAGAACGCTGAGTTCACACCTCCCTTTTCTTATCAGTTCTGTGCCCTGGGGAAGCCTTTGTTTCTCTAGGAGCCTCCCCAGTCTCCCCACCTGCACAGTGAGGATGATGCTAGACCCATTTCCTAAGGACATCATCAGGTGTGGAGGACATAAGCCTCTAACACCTGTGGGCAGGTGTCCCATGAATCTGATGCACAAACGTAGAGGTGGAAGGGTGACAAGAATGAGTGGACGCAGCACGAAACCCCAATCTAAACAGGCCTGGGGGCCAGCGTGGGGTCTTGGGGAAGTCACTGCCCACCTTGACCTCATTTTAGGTCTGCAACTCTAAGAGAATGAAAAATACAGGAAATTCAGATATTGTCATTCACTGGCCTAAAACCTTCCAGTGGTCTCTTGTTAAACCAGGAATCAGACCAAGTGCCTCATGCGGGCCATGTGGTGGGGCCTTCACAAAGGCTCTAGTGACCCGCCTCCTGGTGGGAACACCCTTGTGTGTCCGCCGAGTGCCTAGTAACTGCTTCTGAACAGCTGAGACTCAGCCCAGGTGAGGGCTGTCAGGGCTGTCACTTCTCTCGTCCTCTCATTCTTGAGTCCCCTCCTTTCTCAGCCTCTATTTCATTTTCTGTGCGCGTGTCTGACTCTGTCTCTGTCATATCTCTGGACCGGGCAGAGCTGCGCCCATGCTCTGCGCCGCCCTATGCAGATGCCCCACAGGAGAGCCGAGGGGGTGCCCAGCCAACAGGCAGGAACGCGGGCTCTCGGGCCCCACTGCGTCCTGACGGAAACCAGGCGAGTGACCTCGAGGGGAAACCTGTCCGTCGAGCCTCAGCTGAAACACATCTCCTGCTTCATGGAGACCTTGAGGCAGAGGCACCAGCCAAACCTGCCCGGATGCTGGTCCACAGAAATTCTATGGTGTTCATGTCTGTACTTACAGGTGCAAGGTTAGAGAGCAGTGTTGTTTGTGCCTCCGGTTCCCCATCGGACACTCGGCAATAATAAAAAATACCCTCCCTGAGGTTATGGAGAGTGTTGAAGAATTAATGTTTGACCCTAGCCGGTTTGGCTCAGTGGTTAGAGCGATGGCCTGCGGTCCAGAGAGGCCCGGGTTCAGTTCCCGCTAAGGGCATGTACCTCGGTTGCAGTTTGTCCCCGGCCCTGGTTGGGTCGTGTGGGTGGCGACCACTCGATGTGTCCCTTTCATGTCAGTGTTACTCTCTCTCTCTCTCTTCTTCCCACTCTATCTGAACAAAATATGGAAAAATGTCCTCGGGTGAGGATAAAAAAAAAAAAAAAAGAATTAATGTTTGAAAAATGGTGGGGACACCTGGCACATCACAAGGGCGGTGTGTACACATTTTAAATCAGTCTGAAGGTTCTCCCAGCGTCTGTAAGCGCCTGAGGGTGGGGACTAGCCCTGACCGAAGGTAGGAGGCCCTCCATACACACGATGAAGGAGGAGTGAGTGACACTTAGGAAGGCCTTGCAAACGTCCCCTCCTGCCCTGGCCTCACATCACCCATGTGAAGGGCTGGGGCAGCCCATAGGTCTGTGCGAGCCTGTCATGGTTTGAGGCCAGAACTTCTCAGGATCCTGGGGACTTCTAGAGAGTTGGGGCTTCCTGGGTGGGAGTGGAGGTGATGGTCAGGGTCAGCCAAGCCTTCACGGGGGGGGGGGGCAGGAGCACTGAGCTGAGGACAGAACCTGCCCCAGCCCCGGACCTGGGAGCCAAGAAGGGGAGCAGACCCTGCCCAGGAGGCTCGGAGGGAACAGCAGAGGCCAGGAGGAGACTCTCGGGTCCATTTCACCAGCTGTTCCTGCCGCGGAGAAGGCCCTGGGCTGAGATAGTTGAATGAGTCCTGTGAGTCTAGTAATCAACTTTTGTTTACAATTATACAAACAGGTGTCAAATATTTGAACCAGTGGACCTTGTTGCTGACTGAAGGCTGCAGGGCTGTCTGTGGGCCCGGATGAGGGCCTCACCTCCCAGGCGCAGCTGGAGGTCTGTTCCTGGTTCCCAGAGCAGGTGGTGATCTGCCCGGTGACATCTGCCTCCCTCGGGAGAAAACCTCAGCCTCCAAGGGCGGGGCCAATGGGGCGGTGGGGAGGCAGCTGCCAGCCCCTCCCCCCTCCCCAGCGTAAAACTACCTGCTCCCACAGTATCGTTCTGTCACCTGCTCCCACCAAATGCATGGACCCTGAGGAGAGACACTAAGCTAAGGAAAGGGAACCCATCACCAAAGGACAAATAGGGATGACCCCACTCACGTGCCGTCCCTGGTGTCGTCCTATTCAGAGATGGAAGCAGAAGGGTGGCTGCCAGGGGAAGGGAGGAGGGGATGGGAGTTCGTGTTCACCTTTGCAAGACGGAGAGTCCTGGAGGAGGGTGGGGACGGTGCACAGCGTGTGAGTACTCATACCAGTGAACTGGAGACCTAGAAATGGTTAAGGTGGTCTGTTTTGTGTTAAGTGTATTTTATCACAGTTATTTTCTTTAATTGAAACTAATGACCTGGGGCTGCCCAGAGTTGCAGTCACACTGACACCCATGTGGAAGGACATGTCCTGGGCAACCCTGGGGACAGGAGCTCGGGCAGCAAGGCCTCATCCACTGCCCTCCAAGGGCACAGAAACCTCCCTGGGGTGGCTTCAGGGGCCTGGGTGGGCTGCACTGAGCCTGGGTCTGCATCCGTGGACAGGGCAGGGGGAGGAAGTCCATGAAGGCCCGGCTCAGGGACAGTTCTCCTGGGTGTTAGAGTGTGACCTGGAGAAAGCCCCCAGGAATCAAAGATGCTGCCCTAGATCTCAGGAGAACACACCTCTCCTCCGTGGTTCAATGGAGTGTGACGCTGGGGTCCCCGCCGAAGACCTTTAGGGAAATGTCACAGTGAGTGCCTGCTGTCCTGGGACCCTGCTCCCCTTGCTGACTTCCGGGCATGGATCAGAAAATGGGAAGCTGTGGGACAGAGGCGACCCAGTCAGATTGTCCAAATGATCACCCAATGGCCACTTCTCTCGAGCTTCTAAGTCCACGAATACCTCGTGCCCACCTGCTCCTCACACCCCAAATGGTGGCTCCTGGTAAGATACCCTAAGACCCACCCTGGTCATCCTGACCCCATGGAGCCCCGTCCATGAACACCTCTGAGGACAGCGGGATAGCCATGTCCAAGGGATGGGCAGACATGGCCATATGCTTCCCTCACAGACTGCAGTGCCCATTTGCTGGGGCCTCTGGCCCTCTCCCTGTGGGCTAAGTAGTAAGTGGCCATGCTGGGGAGCCCCTCAGGGCAAGGAGCTACCTGTGGCCTCTCTGAGCTGACAGCGGCCTCCAACCCACAGCCAGCAAGAAACCCAGCCCTGTCCTGGCTGGTTTGGCTCAGCGGTTAGAGCATCGGCCTGTAGACCAGAGAGTTGTGGGTTCGGTTCCTGCTAGGGGCACATACCTCGGTTGCAGTTTGTCCCCGGCCCTGGCTGGGGTCATGTGGATGGCAGCCACTCGATGTGTCTCTCGCGCATCCATGTTTCTCTCTTTCTCTCTTCTCCCCTCTCTCCCTCCTGCTCTGATGCTAAATACAAAAATGTCCTCGGGTGAGGATAAAAAAAAAACAAACCCTCCCCCCCCCACCGCCCTCAGCCTACAATGGCAGGACCCGGATCCTGCCCACAACTGGAGTGAGATCGGAGTGTCTCCCTCCCTCCGGCACCCTCAGAGGAGGCCACAATCTCAGCCGAAGCCCAGGTTTGGTGAGGCCCGAATCAGGAACTGCGTACGCCGTGCCTGCTCCCGACTGTGAAGCTGTCAGATAGTCTCAAATGTGACTGTCACCAGGTCACTGGCACTATTGCTCCACAGCAAGAATTGACTAAGCCGCGTCTTTAGAAGTCAGGGCCCGTCTTCAGGTGACCGGCACAGAAGTAACTTCCTATCGGGGAGGATTGCCGGGTCACAGCACAGTGTCCTGGACGTGACAGTGACACGTTGCCATGTTGGGACACAGGAACCCTCATGGTGGGCTTGTCTGGCAAGGGGGCCCTGTCTGCCCTTGTTCCTGTGTGTAGGAAACGCGTTGGGAAGAGTGTCTGCCTCCGGAGCAGAGGGTGAGCTTGTTCTGGGCCCTGGAGGACGGAGATGCCGTCTCCCTGTGAGCCAAGGGCCGCGTCCTTACTGCCTTATTACAGAGGTGGGTCCCTAGCTCACTGCGCCTTCTCTGGGACGCCGCCGCCGGTGTGCACGCAGACGTCACCTGACCACTGCACGTCACCCTGTGGAACCGGGCTCAGGGATCTGGCACAGAAGTGGGGATCCTTCACTGCTGTGTGTAAGTAGATTCTCCTTTCTTGCTGACTGGAATGGGGCAGGAAGAAAGGGGCAAGCAAAGGAGGGGATGGAAAATCATGATTCCCCAGGCCAGGGCCAGTGTCGTCATGAGAGTGGGCAAACCTGACCTCAAGGCCCTGGTCAAATACGGGGCATGCAGAACTTCCACGGGAAGGCAGAGCTGGCTGGAGCCCACAGGCCTATCATCACAGCAAGGAGGGCCGAGGGAGAGGCTACAGGCGGCTCATCTGTTTCATAGGCTCATGCCAGCGAGAACCTCTATTTGATGTATTTTCATCCTTGGACTTACACATCCCTATCACCATTAGTGGCACCACCTCTGAATCCAATACTGCAAACGTGGCCATCCTCCTCCTGGCCACAGGACGAAGCTCCAAGTTCTGGGCCACTGTTCAGGGAAAGGGGCCTGACCTCAGTTGTGCAAAAGAGGCTCATCCAGCCCTTAAACAAGAGCTTAGTGTAAGCCTGGGGCTGCTGGTGACCATCTTCACCACGTCTGGGGAGGGACTCCTGAGCCCACAAGCAGAGGAGACAGAGAGATCACCTCTTTACATCCTTGTGTGAGTCCCTGGACCAAGCCAAGACACCTTCCCAGCTGTGGGAACCAGTAAATCCACTTAATTAAGGTACTTCTGTGTTAAGAGCTCTATATCTTGAGACTGATGGGCCCTCGCAGGCTGGGTGCATCCATGTCATCACCCCCCGGGCCCTCGCAGGCTGGGTGCATCCATGTCATCACCCCCCAGGCCCTCACAGGCTGGGTGCATCCATGTCATCACCCCCCAGGCCCTCGCAGGCTGGGTGCATCCATGTCATCACCCCCCGGCCCTCACAGGCTGGGTGCATCCATGTCATCACCCCCCGAATCCTCGCAGGCTGGGTGCATCCATGTCATCACCCCCCGGCCCTCACAGGCTGGGTGCATCCATGTCATCACCCCACGGGCCCTCACAGGCTGGGTGCATCCATGTCATCACCCCCCGGCCCTCACAGGCTGGGTGCACCCATGTCATCACCCCCCGGATCCTCGCAGGCTGGGTGCATGCATGTCATCACCCCCCGGCCCTCGCAGGCTGGGTGCACCCATGTCATCACCCCCCGGATCCTCGCAGGCTGGGTGCATGCATGTCATCACCCCCCGGCCCTCGCAGGCTGGGTGCATCCATGTCATCACCCCCCGGCCCTCACAGGCTGGGTGCATCCATGTCATCACCCCCCAGGCCCTCACAGGCTGGGTGCATCCATGTCATCACCCCCCGAATCCTCGCAGGCTGGGTGCATCCATGTCATCACCCCCCGGCCCTCACAGGCTGGGTGCATCCATGTCATCACCCCCCAGGCCCTCGCAGGCTGGGTGCATCCATGTCATCACCCCCCAGGCCCTCACAGGCTGGGTGCATCCATGTCATCACCCCCCCTGGACCCTCACAGGCTGGGGTGCCATCCATGTCATCACCCCCCGGGGCCCTCAGCAAGCGCGGGGCCTCCATGTCACTCACCCCCCGGGGTCCTCGGCAGGCTGGGTGCATCCATGTCATCACCCCCCGGGCCCTCACAGGCTGGGTGCATCCATGTCATCACCCCCCAGGCCCTCACAGGCTGGGTGCATCCATGTCATTACCCCCCAGGCCCTCACAGGCTGGGTGCATCCCATGTCATCACCCCCCCGGGCCCCTACAGGCCTGGGTGCATCCATGTCATTACCCCCCAGGCCCTCGTCAGGCTGGGTGCATCCATGTCATCACCCCCAGGAGGGCCCTCGCAGGCTGGGTGCATCCATGTCATCACCCCCCGGGCCCTCACAGGCTGGGTGCATCCATGTCATCACCCCCCAGGCCCTCGCAGGCTGGGTGCATCCATGTCATCACCCCCCAGGCCCTCGCAGGCTGGGTGCATCCATGTCATCACCCCCCCGGCCCTCACAGGCTGGGTGCATCCATGTCATCACCCCCCGGGACCTCACAGGCTGGGTGCATCCATGTCATCACCCCCCGGGACCTCGCAGGCTGGGTGCATCTATGTCATCACCCCCCGGGTCCTCACAGGCTGGGTGCATCCATGTCATCACCCCCCAGGCCCTCACTGGCTGGGTGCATGCATGTCATCACCCCCCGAATCCTCGCAGGCTGGGTGCATCCATGTCATCACCCCCCGGGCCCTCACTGGCTGGGTGCATCTATGTCATCACCCCCTGGGCCCTCACAGCCTGGGTGCATCCATGTCATCACCCTCCTCCAGGGGCTGTCACCATGGCTCAAAACAGCTCTCAGCATTCCCAAGCCAGCCCTCTTTCTGCGTTCACACCGATTACATCATTCTCTCATGAAAGTCTACCCACTCTTCAAGGCGATGCGACAGCTCTCCTCCTTCATGAAGCCTTCCAGGACCATCGTCCCAAGGCGCCTCAAGGGCCACGTGTCAGGTTTCTGCCTTGTCAAGGCTCCTCCCCCAACAGCTGGACTGGAAGGCCCCACAGGGCAAGGACTGCGTTAATATCTACCTCCTTCTGATGAGCGAACATTGCATGACTCAGTCCTAATGAACTTATAATGTAAAACACAAGAAAGTCAGCTGACAAGTGTGTGTGAGCACCAGTGAACATGTGCAAATGTCCCTCACCACTCTGCAAAGTGCAGAGGCAAACGGGTGGGAAGGAATGAATATGGAGCACCCTCCCCCTTAGCAAAACAAAACCTACCCCCCACCCCAAGGTTATTCCAGAAGGAAACTCCACCAACCGCAGTGGCACTAGAAATCTGGGTGAGAAAAGCATAGGTAAGGTCAAACCAAGGAGGTGGGGGCACTGGGCCACAGGGTGTAGCCAGACTTTGCCAAGAAGTGGTCCTTTGCAGGGCTAGCTGCCACTCCGCTAGAGCCAGCAGGGCGGGAGGCTGCCTGCCAGGCGTGCCCTCGGGCCCCATTCTGAGCCCTCCGGCCCCCAGCAAGGTGGGACAGATGTCTCTGAAAGTTCTTTCACCACCACTGTTGAGACACACAGTTGGGCTCAAGGGCCTCTATCTTTCCTGCGGCCCTTCACCTCTGCTGGGGTCTCCTCATGCTGAGCCTCACACAGCCTGCAGCTCTGCCCCCAGCCTCCATCTGTGACAGGTCGGCAGGAACTGGGACTCCTAGGTTCCCACTCCAACACCTGCTGAGACAACGGGCCCTGGGGCCCACTATGACTGAGCTCTTCACCTCGGGCCTGGTTCCAGGACTCCACACCACTTCCCATCCCTGCCCCTTTCCACACCCTCAGCCTCTTCCATTAACACAAGTCCCCTCCTCACAGTCACCTCATTAGAGAAAACCTTCCTCTGCTCTCACCGCATCTTGGCCACCAGCTGTGCCTCACTCCTGCTGGCCCCTCCCAGGAACTGCCCCACCCACTCGACTCTCACACTGAGCCCCGCTCCAACCGCCATCATGAAACCTTTGGTACCAGGTCGGAGCCCACGAGCACAGCCCCTCTTGGAATCCTTTCCCAGCTGCCCACTGGACCACTCACAGCCCTTCCGTGGACAAGTCCATCCCCAGGACTGAGACTATAAAGCCCTTGGAGACAGGGCCCTGAGGATCATGTTTCTCTCGTGGTGTCTCACACGCTTTGGACAAAGGACAAGTCACCTTTGATACATGTCTGAAATGAAATGAGAGAGAACACATTCCTAGCCCCAAGAAAGATATGTGCTCTTCCCAAGAATAAAAATAGAATAAAATAAAAATGTTGTCGCCCTGGTCGGTTTGGCTCAGTGGTTAGAGTTGGCCTGTGGTCCGGAGAGACCCGGGTTCAGTTCCCGCTAAGGGCATGTACCTCAGTTGCAATTTGTCCCTGGCCCTGGTTGGGTCGTGCGGGTAACAGCCACTCGATGAGTTCCTTTCACATCAATGTCTCTCTCTCCTTCCCTCCCTCCCACTCTGTTTGAACAAAATATGGAAAAATGTCCTCGGGTGAGGATAAAAAAAAAAAAAGTTAAAACCACCAAAACAGGCTTTCCTCAGCAGGAGCCCTAAGATCTCTTACTGCGATGCACATGTTGGCTGAATGAAGTATGTCAGCTGAACGAAGAAAGGGATGAATGGACAAATGACGGATGAAGGAATGGATGGATGAATGATGGATGAAGGGATGGACGGATGAATGGACGGATGAATGAATGGAACGAGGCAGCCACCAGAGGAACCAACACTGAAGGATCTCCTACAAGTTACAGCCTGGACCGCTGGCACTCACATCTCTCCCAGGAAGGAAGGAACCACTCCCTCTGGTTTCCAAAAGTCCAGTTTCTTTGGCAAGTCCTAGCTCTGGGGTCTATTTTCCCCACACAGGACAAGAGCGCTCCTCTGCAGCTCACCCAGAACGCAGACAGGAGGCTCTGCAGCCAAGCACCGGGGCTCCCAGGGGGCCTCACTGTGGGAGGTGTCAAATCGGTGGCTGTGCCCTGCAGAGGAGGCACTGCATTCCCTCTGACGTTTTATTTGTTCATCTGCACCCAAGGGTATTTTTCTGTTGATTTTGTTGTTGTTTAAGAGTGGAAGGGAGGAAAAGAGTGAAAGACACATTGATTGGTTGCCTCCCACACGACCCTGGGGATAGAACCTACAACCCAGGTACGTGCCCTTGACTGGAATCTAAACCCATGACCCTTAGTGCACAGGCAACAAACACTCTAACCACTGAGCCAAACCGCCCAGGGCTCCCTCTGACTTTTAAAATTACACTTGCTCAATTTCTCCTGCTTCTCCAAGAGAAAGGGAACAACCCAACTCAGGGAAATTGTGCTAGAAAAATGACAGGGAGCCAATGGCATTTTCATTCTTAGTTGTGGTTTCTGTTCATTTGTTTTGTTTTTGCTTTTTATTTTTTTCCTAGAAAAAAAGAAACCCACCAGGGAATTTATATGAGTGTCAGGATAGCAGGGGGAAGAGAAGGGCCAGGGCATGGACAACTGATAAAAAGTGGGTTCCGAATCACATGGAACAGTCCACAGGGTCATGTCTGGGGCCCAGGAGATGACCGGTCATTTTGGCATGCGTGTCTGGTGCCTGGTCTCCTGATCTGCCCCTCAGACACCCGTGGTCAGTGAGAGCTGGCCGCGCCCCAGACATCTGCCGAAGACAAATGCGGACTTGACAAAGACAAGACCACACAGCCCCTGGTTCGGGGCGCAGGTACCACACGGCAGTCTTGCTCGCCTCACAGGAAGTCTGGGCATGAGTCACTATGGGACACTTGGGCATCACAGTGAACGCCAGGCAGCCACTCATTCATGGGCAGACATGGTCTTCACTGCCCACACAGGGGTCTGTCCAGACATCCCCAGGTGGTCTGGCCAGAGGATGAGGCACATAACAGTTCCTTCCTACCACAGTTCAACAGTGGTGTCCATTCTCCAGTCTTGTTCTGTCACCTGTAGGAAGAGATTGGGATCCATCTGTTTTTCAGCTCTGCACTGGACACTGATTCCAAAGAAGGATGGCCATCTGGATCCACAACGAAGGTCTCTCAAGTTTCTCCCACTTTTATGCCAATCTCAGAAAATTCAGCCAGACCCAGAGACACGTGTGGCCAACAGGAAAGCCAGAGTAATGGCTGGGCAAGATAGAGCCCGTGGGTAGGACACTGCAAGACCAGAGGACATTCAAGAAGGGGAGAGGGCATGCAGCAAGATGTTGCCCCAAGTCACAGGTGAGGGGCAGCACTAACCCTGAAGGACACAGCCAGGTCTGCCATCTGACACCTCACGCAACGGGCTGTGGTTCCTGTGTGGAGCATGGTGGGTCTCCTGCCCTGCTGTGACCCGCTCCTGCACGGAGGCCAGGTTACATCTCAGCGCCAGTCCTGAGGAGCACCACGCTGGCCAGCCAGCCAGGCCACAGTCCTCCGCCCCTCTGCTGATGGGGCTCTGCATTCCACAGGAAGGCCACTGGGGGGTGGGGGGTGGGGGGGGGCTGCGTTCTACTGGGAGAGGTTCAAGGAGAAAAGACTATGAGCTGGAAGGAGCTGTGGCCCCAAACACTGCAGAGCCCAGAGAATAGAATAAAAATAGAAAAAATGACAACAGTCTTGTCGCTAGTTTAAAACAGATTATTGGTGCTGTTGCTTGGTTCCCCCTTCACCCTGATACTCTCTGGGCACCAGGAGGCCTCAGGCCCACACCCTGTGCTCTCTCCATGCCGGGGATCCAGCCACCAAGCCAGGGCAGGGCGGGGAGAAGCCTTGCTCTGCTTCCAATGGCAATGCCTTCTCCCCGTCAAACAGCACAGAGGACGGGAAGTCCAAAGACTAAAGTGCAGAGAATCCCGCAGAGCGGGCGGCCTGGCACTGTGCACTCTGAGAAGAAATGGGAGCAGCTGTGGAACAAAGCTGACCTAGGAAGGAAGCCTGCAGGGCACAGTCCCCTTTCCCTTGGGCCCTGGTGACACCTCTATCTGAGACTGTCCACTATCAGCAGCTTCCCCAGGAAAGTTCTGGTCTGAAAAATGTGGCCCATGAAGGGAGAAAACATGTATGACCGTCCCTGGTTGGTAATGACTAGCGATCTTAGGGACAGGAAGGTGGCGAGAGGGGAAACAGTGCATGATATAAAATCCGTGACCCAGGTTTCAAGAGCAGGGATACATGAACAACCCAAAAGGCAGAGTCTCTCCTGGGAAAGGTTTGGTGAAGACGCTCAGGATCCTACCAGTGAGGCCTGCTGAAGAAGGCGCTCCTCTGGGTGTGGGAGGAGCTTCAGATTGGGAGCAGGGAGGCGGAAAGCCACGGCCGGCATTAGGGTGTGTAGGCCGGGGGAGGCTGGAATTGATTGATGACCTCGTACTCCGAGGGGTAGGGCTCGGTCTCCTCCATCTCAGACAGCAGCTCCAGTGCCTGCTCTTCCTCCTCTGTGGGGTAGTGGCGCAGGAGGTTGGCTGCTGTGGCCAGGATTGAGGCTCCACCGGCTCCTGCCACCAGGTAGAAACTAACGGCAAAGGTGACATACACCTGAGAACCATGGTACTTCTTATGTTGCTGCTGCTGGGCCAGGATGAGTTCGGAAGCCCAGTAGGAAAAGCCGATGACGGTAGCACACTGCAGGACTAGGGGACATGGGGACAGCACAGAAAGGGGGTTAGCAGGAACCAAATGCAGCCTCGCTACCCAAACCCCAATATCAGAGAACCTGTGTGGCCCCAGATCCTGCAAGAGGGCGCTCTCTAGGCCATGGGGTTCTTAGGCTAAGCCTGGGGACAGATGCCTGACCCCAACTGGACCAGATCCTCTCCATCTTAAGAATCCAGAATTGGAATATGAGGGCTGCTGGAAGTCACTGAGTGCTTGAGAGGAACAGACAAGATCATGCAGTTTGGGAGCTGGAGTTGGCACCACCACAAATCAACACCCAGCCCAGTCATGGCAGAGGCTAGACTGTGGGGAAGTGAAAATGGGAGGAAAGAATCAAATGAGACCATGAACTCCAGGGGAGTCACAGTAAAATACTCTGCTCCCTTCCTTGCTTCTTCCAGGTCCTTCGAGCCCAGCTGAGCTTCAAACCCAGTTCCTGGAGAGCCATGAGATTTCCTGGGGAATTCTATCAACAGTCCCTCCCAACAGCTGGGCCAGGTGTACAAGCGAATAACAAAGCAAGCTCCTGGCACGCGTCAGTGCTCCAGGAAAGGCTAGAGTTGAAATGAGCATCTGGACTGCTGTCTGTTCAGAGAAACCCTGCCACCCCCACCTGCAACTCAACAGCGTGCCCCCACCCTGGGGCAGTTTCTCCCCCACTGGAGCAGACCTGGACTTACCCGTGAGAATGTGGGCAAAGGCATAGCGACGGGTGATCTTCAGGGCTGGATGCTTGGGTCCAAAGACATCCAGAAGGAACGCGGAGAGACTACAAAGGATGCCCAGGAAGCAGAAGGCGGCAATGACCCGCAGGAGCAGCACCGTCTGGGGGTTCATGCAGAAATCTGTAGGGAGAACCATGTCTTCAGGACCCAATCAGCACCCTAGAGGAGGAAGTCCCCACCTGGGAGGGTTTTGTCCCCCTCAGTCACAGTCCTGGAGTGCCAGGGGAGTCCTAGAGAAAGTGGTCCTAACTCTTGCTCCCAGCTGGCCCACAGAGGAGGTGGAACAGCACCCGCATTAGCAGACAACCCTGGTCACTGCTTCCATGCACTCAACTCCTTCCCTTCCAACAAAACCAGTCCAGGTGCAGGCCTCCACTTCGCTGTACTGGCCACAATCTTCTAACCATCTTTATGTATGTATGTATGTATGTATTTCCTCACCTGAGGACACTTTTGTACTTATCCTCAGATAGAGCGGAAGGGAGAGAGAGAAACATCGATGTGAGAGAGACACGTCGAGTGGCTGCCACCCTCACGACCCCAACTGGGACCAGGGACAAACTGCAACTAGGTACGTGCCCTTAGCAGGAACCGAACCCGGGCCTCTCCAGTCTGCCAGCCAATGCTCTAACCACTAAGCCAAACTGGCCAGGGCATTTTCTAATCATCTTTAAAGACCCCGACAATGAATCTGACATGTCAACCCAGTCTGCTAAAGCACGCTCTGGGCTGCAGGAAGAGCCCACTCACTACTGTGCTGAGATGGCCAGAGAGGCAAGGCCAGAGGCGATCAATGCCAATTCTCTATCCAGACACTTATTCATCATCTTTTGTGTTCAAAAAGAGTTTAAAGCCATTTAGAAAAATGTATCCTTACAAGAGAGTACTAACAGAGTTAGGAAAGATGGTAGATTGGACCTTCACATTTATTTTTGGTTGTTCCCTGAATCCTACTAAAATAAAACAAAACATTTTTTAATACACAAACCCACACCAAGGGGAGGGGGGCAAAACTCAATTCTGGAAACTGGAAAGTAAAGGGACTTGGAACTGCCTTAGCAGACTGGGTGAGCTGAAGTGTCAGCCAGAAGTGGGAAAACAAAGACACAACTAGTTTACAACTAGATTACACCACAAAAGGCTGAGAAACCGACAGCACCAAACACTGTAAAATGAGTGCAAAGCCATTAAGGGTACACACTCCCCCACGGTGAGGAGTGAACCAAGGACAAGGAAGATGCTGAAAAGGAGACCTGACATTCAGAGTCCCCAGGGTCATGGTGAAGGGAGAGCCCAGGACAACTGCACACCAGACACATAGAGCAACCGAGATGTCCTAGGACTGCCACACCATTCTTACTGCTTTTACATTTCGTCTAGACAACACCGTCAGATCCTTCGATATCTATGCAAAGTGCCACAGCTCCCAGAAACACAGAGACAGAATAAAGGCCGATCTAAAAAGAAGCCATTTCAAGTTTCAATAAGAAGTAGGAAATGTGCCTTAACTTCCCTCCCACCTCTATACCAGCCACTGGCAAGCTCTTTTTCACTCGGGTCCTGGACCATCCAGTGATTGAGGAAAATATGTAAAGGGGGCAGGACTTAGACTATAGGTTCCTTTCCTGAGTCTAGACCGCAGGCTAAGAGGTTGGGAGACAGTGGTCGTCACTCTTCGGTGTACACCAGTCACCACGGCACTGGCTGAAAGCATGTTCCCAGATCCCAGAAAGTCTGAGCTCTAAGTCTGCAGTAGGGCCTAGGAATCTGGATCTTAACAAGCAGCCCAGGTAATTCCTGCAGGTGACCCAAGCCTTACACTCCAAAAAACACAAATCCTGGGCCTAGAAGGGGGACTGAGAAGAAAAGTCCAAGAACCTTGGGAGGGGACCTGAACCCAACAAAGCAGACTCAAACCAACAGACACTGGCAACATGGGGTCTTGGGTAGAGGGTCCGGCATCCAGACCACAGAACCAGATCAGGTACCAGGAGACCCTGGGCCTTTGTGACAGCACGCATTCCCTGCCTCAGGCTCAGAATTCTCCAGACAGATGGTGGCTGAGCCCACACCAGACTCATGCGGGACCTGGCTCTAGGTCATCCACTAAGCTGCCCTCAGAGCTTCTGTCACTCTCATCAGCTGACCATCTGTTTGGGGCCCAATCTTGCAGCCTAGTGTCCACTTGCCACCAGGAGGCTCGCCTGTGTGATGCCTCTGCCAGCAACCAGGCCCAACCTCCATTTTGTCCAGTCCTACGTAGCCTGAGACCGTACTGTGGGCCTGCAGGAGGCTCTGCTGAAGGAAGAGCTCTGGTCTCCTGGTTTTGCTCTGAATATTGTTAAAAGTTCTCTGAGATGGTTCTTCTTGGCCCACATGGCATGAGGCAGGGATGGGGCAGGATGAAAGTGTTCTTCCAGTGCTTCCAAGGATAACCGGAGCAGCAGGGTGCTAGGGTGCACAGCATGCTCCGCACTGGCCTGGCGCTTGGGGTGGGCTTTAATTATGGTTCTTAAAAATCCACTAAGTTTTAATTGAACAAGTCTTAACCGCAAAAAAAGTATTATTCAGTGGCTTCAAAGCTACTTTCTTAGTCTGCATAGTGAGTACAAGATATTCATTTCACTATCATTCTTAAAAACATACACCTGTTACATACACTCCTATGTGTCTCATGTTTCTTATTTTAATAACAAGGAAGAGTCGCACACAACCCACAGCTTCAGAAAGAACACCCTCCCTGCCACGTGTCGAACTGCCCCTCCTGACAGACAAACATTGTTGGCAGTTTCTTTTGTCCCCTCCAGGAACAGTCTGTGCACAATGACAGGCCAAATGTTATTTTAGCTAAGCCTCACTCTGGGGATCCATCATGCAGTTCAGATGAGGGACTAGAGGCTCCAGGATGTTAAGTGACTTCCTTCAGGTCCCATACGCAGAGCTAGACTCCAAACCAGAGTTAGACTCCAAACGTAGGGCAGGTTCCCTTGCACTGCAATGCTCAGAATCACCAAGCGCCAGAGCTAGCCATTTATCTGTCCCTGACGGAGACAACCCATCAAACCTAAAGCGTTGCAGGTGAATGGTTAGTATAAACGCTCTCAGAGCCACCCTCAGAGCCAGTAGGCGCCAAGTGCAGAACCGCTGGAAGCACAAATCCCTTCTAGGCAAAAAAGGGTTCGGACCATTAAGCAATGAGAAGTGCTCACACTAGGAATTATTGAGCAAAACCTGGTTGGTATGGTCTAAGTTTCTGCAGCCTTCAGAGTCTGATCTGGAAAGCAGTGGGGAAACTAGAAAGGCACTGGTCTTGGCACCAAGTCCTAGACCTGCCACAGACTATGAGTTACCTTGAGTAAGTCACTTAACTGCTCTTGGCCTCTGCTCTCTCACTGTCAAATGAAGGCAGTCCCATCTACAGGGGCGCAGGGAGAGAGAATGTTCAGCAGCCTGCAAGGTAACTGGCCCGCTCCCTCTGCACGGGGCCACAGCAGGGTCAGCCCTGGCGAGCCCTTCCTGTTCACAGCCAGTGTGGGCCAGAGAAAGAGCCCACTAAAGCCAGACTAAGGATGTGCCCCACCAGAAGGAGGATGCAGTACAGACAAGGGGCTTTTGATCCAAATTCAAACAGGTTTTGTTTCAATGGGACTGCCTTTCTCCACTCCAAAGCTGTGAGTAAACCCTCAGGCTTAGTGGGGAAGCCAAATGGGACGCTCCTTGGAGTGATGCTAATAGGTATCCCAGGAGCCTGCCCCACAGCCCAGGCTGCCTTTCATCAGAGGGGCTCAGTGCACAGAGAACACAGGCAGAGTATCCTGGACACACTGAGAACGGAGCTAAGGGTCAGGATCTCAGTGCTCTTGCTCTCCTACCCTGCCAGACTGCAGTATGGTGGGGAGAGCCTCGGATATGTGCTCCCTTGAGAGGGCTACTGGAGAAAAACAGAATTCCCAAATGTTGTGTAGGCACTGTTTTATTTGTGGTAGGAAAAGGCACATGAGGCAAGGTCCTCATTTTCAATTCAAACCAGTGGTGCAGACCACTACCCTCTGGCAAGACAGCACATCCTATCTTCCAGTGGCGCTGTGGCCTGCTTATTTTGCTTGACTGTCCCCTCCCATCACCAGGGAAGAAGGAAGCTGCTGTGTAATAGGATCCCAAAGCACTGACTTTGCCCAAGGTCACTGGTGAGTCATGGGGCAGGATTTGTTTTGAAGGCCTGGCTCTTCCTGTCTACCCGCCCACTGCTCTCAGCCCCTCCCAACCCAAACAGGCTGCAGGCAGGAAGACTGAAGCGGCCTCTGGCCAGTTCCTTTTCTGTCCCACTCCCCTCTCTTTCCCTCACTGGAGCCCCTGAGTGAGAGGCACTGCCCCACCACCCTGGCCCCGGCCTTCCCAGCACTCATCCGCCCCACCTGCACAGCCTCTTCTCACTGTGACTGAGCTTCCGGACAGGCTTCTGCCACAGGATTCCACCAGGGCCCCTAGCGCCTGGCTGGCCCATCACCACAGATACCAACAGTCCTAGCCAAGCTGCTTCAGAGCACAGGAAGCAGAAGTGCCAGCTGCGTCAGTCACCGCCCCTCAGACATTCTGGTCCTATGGTTGGCCCCTGAACTTCCAGGGGCTTGTTGTCAATCATGATTCAGCTGACTTCAAATCCCAGACTTCCTCGTTTTCCAAAGGTGCTTCCCAGGGCTGCTGTCAGTGCTGCCCTTCGAAGGCCACACTTGAGAGGCAGAGAGGGGGTTGGTGTGTAGAAGGAACGAGTATCTGGGGCCCCTCTGCTTGGGGCCACTAGAGGTCTGAGCACATCTCTGGACCTGAGCCCTGACTGCAGAGCACAGTGAGAAGCAGGCATTCCTGGGGAATGGCAGAATTCAGGACGGACATATGGACATCCAAGCCAGCCAGCATTTGCTAAAGCAGGTGACAGTGGGAGGGTGAGTGGCTTTGCCTCCAAATCACCAACTTGAGCTGGAACACTGAGGTGAGGAGGCTGGGCTTGTGATAAAAACTCAACTGGAATGGGGAAGTAACAAGCCTTGGACAGCTTTGACAAAAGGAAAAAAGCTGAAGTACACTAAGGTATGAGGTAAGAGTGGAGGCCTTGCTGCTTAGATCAGCTGTGTGGCCTTGAGCAAGTCACCTGACCTCCCTGAGCCTAAGAGTGCTGTGAAGTGGTGGTGATGACAGTACCTACCAAATGAAGGTGCTGTTCAGGCAGGAGGTGTGCTGAGCACAAAGCCTGGCATCCAGGCAGGGCCTGGGCCAAGAAATTACTCTCCAAAGCCTGCTGGCCCGGCCCACTCCCTGTCACCTGCGGAGACCTGATACAGTTTGCTCTCCTCTGGAAGCATCTATAGGCTTTCATGCTAGGGCATCTGTTAGGCCCTGAGGATCAATATAATCATACAGGCCAACATGTCTAAAGGCCCAATGGGTACCAAAAACCAACCACTACAGAGAACAGGAAGAAGTGAAGCAATCAGGGACATCCTGATGCCTCGCCACCTTCTGTGACAGCTCATGAGGTATCACTGTCAGTTCTCTTATGAATTGACACCAAGTATTCCCAGCGTGCAACGGCCAAGGAGATGGCCACAGGTCAAAACTGTCCATGGGTTAAGATTCCTAAACTGTGAGCAAACATCAAGGTTATGGCAGGATACTTTATGTACATAAAAATACACATGTGAACAAAGAAGAACCTGCACCAAAAATTTATTTCTATTTTTTACATGGCTTTGATAAGAACGCATACCAAAGCAGAATAACCCTAAGATCATTCCCTATGACAAGTGAGCCAAAACAAAGGATAGAAGATATAAAACAGACAGCAACATTTTATACGAAGTCAACGGATGAGGCAGACACAGCTATGCCATCCCCAGCTGTGTGGCCCTGGAGAGATGTGACTTCACTTCTCTGAGACACAGCTTCCTGGACCTCTGAAATAAGGACCTGGGATCACATCGCCTCTCCCCACATCGCACGAATTTCATAAGCCTTGCTAGCAATGATCTGAAAGGGAGAAGCATCAGGAACTCCTTCCCAGTTTGTAGGTGACACCAAGCTCTTGAAACACTGAAACACCAGGGGACCAAGTGCAAAGGTCTGGATGAAGTGGTGGGAAGGTGGCAACTGTGCTTCCAGGAAGGCAAGTGAGGGCAACGTGCTGAGGAAAAAACCATCCAGACTCAATTCCAGCTTGATGGCTTTTCTGACATCAGCTACACGCCAGAGAAAAAGCTGCACGAGGCCTCTACTGTGTGTGTAACTTTTGTCTTAATGAGTTAACCCAGCGAAGGCTATCATCAGGGAAGAACCTAGAAACCAGCCAGAAGCCCCATCCTGTTCTCTAAATCATTCCAAACCCTCAAAAACTCCAGAGATGCAAAACAGTAAGAGAACTCACACAGAAAGACAACATTAGGCCACAAGGATACAGCTTTTCAACCTAGACCTGCAGATGTGGTATAAGATCCAAGGCACAGAGAACGTGACCTTTTCACCAAACCCCAGTGTCTGAGTCCTTAAAGCGGCGGCATCAAGATATCTAACAGGAAGGCCTTCTGAAACATCATGCAGCAAACACCTGGAACGCATTACAACTAGAAAGTAGCATAGGGAGAAAATACAAAGACCTTCAAGAATGGTTCAAAAGACCATGGGGATGATGAACTGTGCTGGTACCAAGGGCTTTGTTGGGTCCACTGACCATTTTCCAGGTAAAAGCCAGGCAGTACAATCCTGCGCTCTCACTACACAGCTTGTACCCTCATTGCTAGAGACAGGGCTGGGCAGGAGCAGCTATGGGGCTCCCTAGGACAGCAGCCACTGCAACCCCCTCCCCTCCTGTCCAGAAAGGAGACTAGTCCCTAGTCCCTTTCCCTGTTCCTCTGCCCACCAGGCTGGGAAAAGTGATGAGCAAAGAAAACTCGCCTCAGTTGGGCACAGGCACATAGTTTTAAGAGCCAAATTCCAACTGTTTTACTGAGGCTGGAAACTGACTCCTGGTTATCTAAATTGCTACAGACTCCCCTTTTCTATAATAAAAATCCAACTACTATAGAATTTGACAGTATTTAAAAATCTAGTCATATTAAAAGTTCTTTTTCTCCATCAATCAGCTGTCCCAAAGAAACCTTTCTACATCCCAGAGGTTCAGTGGAAGGGGACAGCTAATTGTAATGCCTAGCACCCTTATCTTTTCTAATACGGTGCCCTTCCTCCGGCAGAATCCTAAAATAGCAACAGTCTAGATTAGCAGGGCAAGAGAAGTAGGTGCTTGACTGAATAACATCTAATTAATGAGGGGGCGGACCCCAAACAGAGCCACCTGGTGGGCAAGAACACCAGACCGCAATGGGATCGTTTCCTTCAACCAAGTGCAGGCCCTGGTGATCTCAGCTCCAGCCTTGCACCACATTGTTCCCCGCCGCCGAGGAGCCCCGGACGTCCAGGAAGAGGAGGAACGGCGCACGGAGGCCTTACCTTTCAGCAGGTCCGGGTGCACGTAACCAAGTACGTCGGAGACCCCCAGCTCCTGGCGGGAACAGGTGCCACCGTGGATGTGCAACCAGGCAGGCTCAGCGAGGGCAGTGCACAGCGCCGTGATGGACAAGGCGCCGGGCAGGGCCGAGGCCAGGCTACGCTCCGGCTGCTTGGGCAGAGCGCTGCCTCCCGGGCTCCTCCGCCGGCGCCCGCCGGGCAGCCCTGCGCCTCCGGGGGCGTACATGCCCGGGGCCGCCCGCCGTCGCTCCGCGGTCGCTGATGCTCACCGCGGACTTCCGCGGGGCGCGCAGAGTCCGCCTGTTCCAGGGAGGAGGCAGGTGAGGAAGGAGCAGCGCTGCCAGGGCCGACACCGGGGGCGGGGCGGGGCGGGACGGGGGGCCCAGAGGAGACGGGAGGACTGCGGGGATTCAGGGGGCGGGGACGGTGACTGGGTCCCTGGAATGGAGGCGCAGAATGAGAACCCGGAGACCGCTGGGCTGCGCAAACCCGGGTGCGGGTAGGGGACGAGGTATGGGCTCCTGGTGGGAGAGAGACCCAGACCCGGGGTCTCAGCCAAAGAGTGCCGCGGGGAGGAGGCCCAGGCTGGGCCGCGGGGACGAGGACCCGGGATCCGGGAACGGCGCTCGGGGGTGCGACCTCTGCCCAGAAAAGATTCACCCCACACCGCTCGCTGCTCCTCACCAGTCAGCAGGCCTCAGGGGTGGCGCCGCTCCGTCCCGTCAAGGGCTCTTCAGCTGCCCCGGGCCGAGCGATCCCAGGCCCTGAACCCCACTACGCCCGGACCGACCCGGACCGACCCGGACCGCCCGGGTCCGACCCACTTCCGCTTCCTTTTCTTCTACCTCCGCCTCCTCCGGCTCCCCGCCCCGTCCCCGCGTGCGTCACAGGCCGGCGCACCGCCGTCTCCCTGCGTGGGCTCACGGGACTGGTAGTTCGAGACGCTCCCGCGACACTTTACGCCGTGGTGGGAGGTCGACTCCAACTCCCAGGGGGCAGCGCGGCCGCATTAGCCAGCACTGTATTTCCCAAGTCGACCGGGGTTCTCGGGCGGAAGTGGCGAGGTCGGCGGCCGAGTGGCGGTCGTGGGAATCTGCGTGGTGGGACCTGCCGGGGGTCCTTTGCACATCTCCTCGCACTGCTTCGGGTCGCCATGAAGGACGCGCTGGTGCTACTGGGCCGTGTCCCGGCACACCCGGACTCGCGCTGTTGGTTCCTGGCCTGGAACCCCGCGGGAACCCTGCTGGCCTCCTGCGGGGGCGACCGCAGAGTCCGCATCTGGGGCACCGAGGGTAAGGCCCGGCCTGGGCGCGACCCCTGCCGCCGGGGGTTCCGTCTGCGTGCAGTGGATGCCGGGTTAGGGGTGCTCCCAGGGAGGGGGGAAAGCCACCTCGGGGTGGACGTGAGCCACTCCGAGAAAGACTTTTCGGACAAGTACTAGAAGCAGAAATGTCAGGACACAGCGTGGAACTGTGGAGAAAATTGTGATACTTGCTGAGGTAGGAAAACGGTAAGAGAGGGGCAGTGGAAAGGAGCCTTTGCAGTGGTTCTCAACCTGTGGGTCGCGACCCCCTTGGGGGTCCAATGCCCCTTCACAGGGGTCGCCTAAGACATAACAGTACAACTACAGTTATGAAGTAGTAACGAAAGTAATTTTATGGTTGGGGGTTACCACAACATGAAGAACTGTATTAAAGGGTCGCAGCATTAGGAAGGTTGAGCACTGCTGCTTTAGAGTAATTTGCCACGATGATGAAGTTTAAGTTTTATTCCAAGGACATTGGGGGGGGGGGGTTATTAACTGTTTTTAATTAGGAAGGTGACTCAGATGATGCCTTCAGAGGAAGTAGGGTCAATTACTTCCTCCTAAAAGCATGTTGTCAAATATGCCCTTGAGCTTGGCCCCCAGCTTGGCCCCAGCAATAGCCCCATTTATCAGATGGCATTGTTTGTGTTTCATTGTCCTCTTGTGCACCCAAGCCCCAGTGCTGGCCTGTCCTTTGCTTTTAGGTGACAACTGGATCTGCAAGTCTGTCCTTTCTGAAGGCCACCAGCGCACTGTACGGAAGGTGGCCTGGTCTCCCTGTGGCAATTACCTGGCCTCAGCCAGCTTTGATGCTACCACTTGCATTTGGAAGAAGAATCAGGATGATTTTGAGGTAACCAGACTGGATGGGACCAGAATCGTTGCCCATTTGCTCCCCAGGGCTGGTTCAGGAACTTCAGCCAACCTGGGTCAGTGGGCTGGCCGGGGGGGTCTTAGCTGCCATTGATTCTTATTACTCTTCCCTTCTCGTAGTGTGTGACCACTCTGGAAGGCCATGAAAATGAGGTCAAGTCAGTGGCCTGGGCCCCATCTGGCAACCTCCTTGCTACCTGTAGCCGAGATAAGAGTGTGTGGGTCTGGGAAGGTGAGTGTAGGTCCCTCTAGGTACAGTTGGGACCTAGCAGACAGACAACCTGCTATGTGACCCTGACAGGGTCAGTTCATGGGCTCCTTTCTGTTTTCTCCCCACAGTTGATGAAGAAGATGAGTATGAATGTGTTAGTGTCCTCAATTCCCATACACAGGATGTCAAGCATGTGGTCTGGCACCCAAGCCAGGAAGTAAGCGTCTGGCAAAGTATCAGTGGGAAGGAATTCTGGTATGGAGGGTTGTCCCCAACTCCCCTCTGCTCTTCAGCCTCAGCCTGGCCTTCATAGAGATCACTGTCTGTGGCCAAAATATATTAATCCCCATTATAAAGACGTTCCCTGGGACTGTCCTGTCCTAACAGGGAGAGGTATTGGAACCACAGGCACTTCCTGGGCCATAAGTGCAGTTTTCCCCATGTCCCCAGCTGTTAGCCTCTGCCAGCTATGATGACACAGTGAAGCTCTACCGGGAGGAAGAGGATGACTGGGTATGCTGTGCTACCCTGGAGGGCCATGAATCCACCGTGTGGAGCTTGGCCTTTGACCCCAGTGGCCAGCGTCTGGCATCTTGCAGTGATGACCGTACCGTGCGCATCTGGCGCCAGTATCTACCAGGCAATGAGCAAGGTGAGGGGCCAGACATAGAGCTAAGAAGGGCCTTCTCCCACAGGTTGACAGTCTAGTTGGGCTGAGACACAGATAAAGCACAGCAGACTGGAGTAGAAGGGGAGATGTGCCATAGAGGGCGCCAGAGAGTGCTGGAAGAACCAGGAAGGCTGTGTAGAAGAGGCCATTTCGTTAGAATTTGAAAGGATGTGTGGGATTTTAACACAAGAGAACTTGGTGAAAACAGACCAGCATGAGCTAAGGCATTAAAGATGGGAAAGCCCAGATTAGGCCAGGAGCAGTGATTCCATCAGGACTCAGCGGTTCTCCACCTTCCTAATGCCGTGACCCTTTAATGCAGTTCCTCACATTGTGCTGACCCCCAACCGTAAAATTATTTTTGTTGCTACTTCATAACTGTAATTTTGCTACTGTTATGTCTTAGGCGACCCCTGTGAAAGGGTTGTTTGACCTCCAAAGGGTTGCGACCCACAGGTTGAGAACCGCTGCTCTAGGTGAAGCACAGGGTATATAAAGTGGGTTGGGCTGGCTGGTGGGTGGCCTTCAAAGGCAGGCTAACTAGTCAGACAGTAATCTGCAGCAAAAGTTTTTTTTTAAAGGAACAGGACATTTCCTTCTCAGAATTCTGCTGCAAAAATACCAGTTTGGCCACAATATGTAAGGCAGATCGGTGACGATGGGGACAGGGGAATGAAGATGAGGATTTGTGACTGAGAGTGGGGGTTAGCAAGGGCAAGTTAGATCTCTGCAGTGAGGCATTTAGACCCCTGAGGTGCCCGGGGCACAGACATGTCTTGGACTCAGAGAAAGTCTGTCGTGCAGGGGTGGCATGCAGCAGCTCTGACCCCAGCTGGAAATGTATCTGCACTTTGTCAGGCTTCCACTCCAGGACCATTTACGACATCGCTTGGTAAGACCTTCATGTCCTTTACCCATCTCCACTCCACCCCTCACTTTGGAGACATCTTAGAAGTCAGACCGTGTGCTGCTCTTGGCCCCCTTTGAGAGTGCACAGGAATAGAGAGCAGCACCTTCTTGCTTCAGAACAGGCCAGACTGTCAACCATGCTGTCCTAGAGCTGGCTGGCCCAGGTTCACAGGAATCCAGAACAGACTGGGACCCAGGCCTGCACCTGTGTTAAGCTCCCAGGCTGTGAGGGCAGCACCGTCCTTTGGTGGGGATCACACAGCATTGTCCCGTCCAGAAATATTAACTGGATTTATGGTGGGGTTTTATGGTTTGGTAACACTGACTCCACCCTTGTGGAGTCTAGAAAAACCATACCGTTCACATAGGAGAGTTGGTCAAGGGGCAGTTCTGGACCTAAGAATTTATTCCTAGGAAATAATCCTAAATAATAAAGGAAGTTGATGTACCTCTAAGCTTTATTTATATTAACAAACATTTAGGAATAACGAAAACAAACAAGTGTGGTAAAATTCAATGGTCTGTTGTAAAAAAAGATTAAGCAAACTTCATGACAGAAATTATTTATGCTGAGTGACAAAATAGTAATTCAGAATCTTATGTATTCCTCTAGAGTAAATATCTTGGGGCAAACTGGAATGGCAGAATGCTTAGGGGGTGGTGTTTGTGGCTGCATATTAGTTAGGGGAGCTTTTCAGTAAGAGACATTAGCTGAAGCCTGAAGTTTGGGAAGGAAACCAGCCAGGGACTGTAGAATCAGTGTCTTACACTAACTTGCTGGGATGAGGAGGGAGGAGCCACCAGCATACCCACTGACGCACGTGTTCCTCCAGGTGTTCGCTGACAGGGGCCCTGGCTACAGCGTGTGGGGACGATGCCATCCGAGTGTTTGAGGAGGACCCCGGCTCAGATCCTCAGCAGCCCACCTTCTCCCTGACGGCCCACTTGCCTCAGGCCCACTCCCAGGACGTCAACTGTGTGGCCTGGAACCCCAAGGAGCAGGGGCTCCTGGCCTCCTGCAGTGATGATGGGGAGGTGGCCTTCTGGAAGTATCAGCGGCCTGAAGGCCTCTGAGCCACCTCGACTTTGGACAGAATCATAGTTCCCCCCAAAATGTCATAAGACTTTCTAGCCAGAGGACCAGAAGGAGCAGCCTGACCTTCGTTTCCCTTGGCTCTCTCCCGGTCAGACCTGGATAGATGTGCAGGGCCACAGAACCACTCACCTTTCCCCTTGTTGCCATGGGCACTTGGTGAAGAACTGCGGAAGAGCAGCATCTCATAATTATGCCAGAGTTTGCTTCCCTTTAGGGCACAGTGTTCAAGTTTGGGGAGTGAATGTGCTACTTATAATCACGATGTTTATATGTAGGAGGGATGTATCTCAGACCTTGCTGAAATTCTAAGCCTTGTAGAAATAATCCATCTGAGTCCTAAGACCTATTTATATTACTAGGACATTCACAGTTTAAGACATTTTCATGATGAGTCCTTTTCTGAAAGGTCCTGCCTTCCTGATTTCTGACGAAGTCCTTGCATTTAGGACATCTGATCAGTATTGAAGGAGAGTTTTAAATGTAGGCTAGTTTAGAGTAAGACACCTCTGCTTTCCCTTAGAAACCCTGGTGTATCTTCTTTGCCTGTGGGGAATGCCAAAAAATAAATAGGGAAGGGCGTGAACCCTGAAGGGAGTTGTTACTGACCATAGGCCATACATTCTCAATGGGGCTGAAACTTGGTTCTTTGGTGGGGGACAGAAAATCTTAAGAGACAATAATTTGTGGCCCCCTAAGGGACCACAGTATGCAATACACAGTGTATGTGATGCTAAATTTTCATAGTGAGGGCAAGTAGGAAAAAGATGTCTGATACAGCTCCTTGGGGAGGGGTTATAATGGAAAAAGGTGGCCAGTTCTGCCATCTCACTCAAGTTGTCTTCTGTTGCTTCCATATGAATTTTAACTTGAGGACTGTTCCCAAAGCTACAGCCTTCATTAATTTTTTACACCACAGAAATCATGACTTAGACTGAAGAGACAGCAGGGGCAGTACCAACCTGAGCTTCTGGGGGTCACGTCTGAGAGGTCAGCTGTTGCCATGCTGGCAGGAACCATGGCACTGGCACCAACTGGTAGTTGTAGTTTTCACTGCCTTGCTCTCACAGCGGAAGTATTTTCAAGAACAAATACAAATCGTGTAAAATTTTGACCCTTGGGAACGCTGCCATATTCAGTGACGGTGGCAGCATGCAAGAAAGCACGCGAGGTGGGATTTCTTGAGGGAAAGCAGTTGTGTGGCTGAGCTGCAAACTAAGTGAGCTGTGTATCATTTTTACTTGAAAGAAGTAGGAAATTATGGTATTGAAACTTGGCTGCTTGGCAGGTGATTTCTAGGAAGTGAATGAACCTTTCACTTCAAGGGTGACTGATAGATAGGATTGTCAGTGATCAAGCTTTCAAGCAAAAATGTTGGAAAACTTGTATAGCCATCATGAACCTGACATCTTCTCAGTAGACTCTTCTGAGATGAGATGGGTGATAACTGCAAATGTGGTTTGTATGATGAGATGTGTCAACATTTGGAAGATCTGCAGGATTCAGTGAATCAGCATTTTCCAGATGATCAATGCATGATGTTACAGAATCATTTGTGGGAAAGAGGTTAGAGACGGTGGGTCTAAATGTAACAGTACAGGAAGCTCATCAGTAGGTTTTAGGTTCCACATTGCACTTTTGGAGTCTCTCTATAGCGTTGAATAGCCAGTTTCCTGAAACAGCTATAAAAGCTCCCTTTCCAACTGCTAAATCTATCTGTATTAAGTCAGCTTAACTAATATACACATATAATTGTAAAAGCAATTACAAAAATCCCTGTTTTTGCCCTGGCCAGTCTGGCTCGGTGGTTAGAGCGTCGGCCTGCGGTCCAGAGACCTGGGTTCAGTTCCCGCTAAGGGCATGTACCTTGGTTGCAGTCTGTCCCCAGCCCTGGTTGGGTCGTGCGGGTGGCAACCACTCAATGTGTCCCTTTCATGTCGACATTTCTCTCTCCCCCTCCCATTCTATCTGAACAAAAAATGAAAAAATGTCCTCGGGTGAGGATAAAACAAAACAAAAATCCCTGTTTTTATTAAATCCGACAGGAATGAGAATTGTAAAAATGTCACAGGCCACTCCTCCCTGGATTTGCTTTGGAAGTATTTTTTTATAAAAAGTCAATTAAATCATTGTTATTTTTAGTGCATTTTCTTTTTTTAATGTTTTTATTGATTTTAGAGAAACATTGGTGTGAGAAACATTGATCTGGTACCTCCCTCACACTCTCCTACCAGGGACTGAACCCACAACCTGGGCATGTGCCCTGACTGGAAATCAAACTGGTGACCCTTTGGTGCATAGGATGATACCCAACGGAGCCACACTGGCCAGGGCTGTTTTTATTTTTAATATAGTAAATATCAGTGGATAGCCTCTTGGGGGCTTTTTATAGTGTAAAGAAAGGGTTCTTAAGCTCAAATCATTTGAAAACTGATGGCCTAAGGAAATTACCCTTGAGAATCATCTTCCAGTTGTATGCAGTCCTTCCTAAAGAACAGAAGGCAAGAATTTGAGAGGAAAACTTGCAGATCTTGATCCAGTATCGGAGTCCCATACCTCGGCCACACCCAACTGGCACATTTCAGCCCCTCCTGGGGGGCTGCAGGGGGTGGGGTGAGGGTGCAGACTGCAGATCCTGAGAAACTTCTAGCCTGTGATCTGTCCCTGCAGCTCAGTGTTAGTTCCTGCAGTGGTGAAACCTGGGTAACAAGGTGGGGGACCAGTTCTACTGACTAAAGAGAAGCTACCTAACCCCTCCTCCACACTGGTTGAAATCACTGCCCAAAGAACAGCCTGTCCTGCCGATGTTTCCTTCTAAGCAAGTTAGTAGTCTAAAAAAATAAATCTTTTTGGCCATAGGCCTTAGGTTAGAAAAAAGGAAACTTAATTTGGAATCACCAGAAAGACAAATGATTTTTCCAACTTACTTTATTAAAGTATCTGACTCTAATGAAAAAACTCCCAAGAACATGCCTAAAAATGCTGTCCAGTTTATGCTTGACAGCTACAGGACACCTGCAAACGCGATCCAAAGTTTGGATGGCAAGGTAATGCAGGAAAGGGAGTGGGGGAGGGCAGGGACAGCACCTGCAGTGGCTGGCGTTCTCCCTGCCAACAGACCAGTCCCAGCTGCGATCCTGTACAAGTGCACGTTCCTGACTCAGGTTCAACTCCTCTACGCAAAGGCAAAGGCCTCTACACTCAATCCGAGTCACTGTCTGTCTCAGCTTCTTTCACATCCACACTGAATTTGTATTCCTGGTCACATCCCATGTAAGCATCACTCATGAAGTACAGAGTATAGTTGTGGGCACCAGTGGCTGGGGCCACGAAGTCAAGCTTCACCTAGAGAGAGGAGGCAAGAATCAGGGTGAGCAGAACACAGGGAGAGGGCCATCTCAGGACAAATGCTGGGCCAGTGGACACTCACCTTGGCCTTCTGCTGCAGGGTCAGCCTCTTGATGGAGATGAGGCTATTGGACTTGGCATCTCCAATCACCACCCACCAGCCCTCTTCACGTTTCTGCAGTGACCAAAAGCCAAGAATTTCAGCACATAAAACTTAACAGCCATAAAGTAGAAAACATAAACCAGACAGCTTTCTAAAGTTTCCTCCTGAAATACAGTTTGATAAAACTAAGACTTTGAAACTGTTACAAGGTATCTTAAGTGAACTCAATTTTTAGGTCCAGCTTATTTCCTTATCCCAAAGTAACTTCTCTTCACTACTGGCCACTGCATCCCAGATCTCACTATTACAGACCTAGACTCTGTGGCTGGTAACTTTGAGTTCTTCAGACACCCTTTTTAAGGTACACATGGCAGATTAAAATGTAAACATGGAGAGGAGCCTGCTCGCAGAGAGGACCCGAAGTGGGCCTTGCCTCTTATCAAGATACTTCTGCTGGCCACTCCATGTGAGAACGCCCAAGAATTCCAGTTCCCAGCAGTATCTCAGAGTGTATTACACTTGCTTCTAAGGTTAGATTTAGTGTATCTGCTTTCACCCTTCAGTGATTCTCCCATGTGAGGGATCAGATTTTCCTGTTCCCTGCATGGTAAGAACCATGCAATGTGGCAGCACAGTAAGTGGCAGTGAGAAAGGAGAGAAGAAACACCTAGAAAAGCCCAACTGTTCTGGAGCCATTTAATTTAAGGTTAAAGACAAATGTTCTTTAATAGTCACAGCTTGACAAGACTGTTCAGCTGGTATTTTTAACAATGACCAGTCATCTAAACTGTTTTAAGGAAAAAGAAACAAAAAACACCAGTGGCCACAAGACTAATTCGTAGTCTATGACTGTGACTTTGTTATTGCTTTAAATCTCCCTCTCCACTGACAGTGCACCCTTGTCCTTGGACTCTAGGACAAGGACAGAAGGCCTCCAATAGACACCTGGAAAAGCCAGCTACCAGGGCATACCTGTGGGAAGAGAGGTGCAATCACAGGGCCTGTGACTTCTTCCTCTCGCTCCAGCTGCACCAGCACCACAACGGGCCCACCACTGGAGAGAGAAGCAGGGCAGCACATCAGCACTGGGGCGGAGTCATAGCGCGCCCGCGGGACCCAGGGGCTCTGGCTCACCTGCGGATGCCATCCTTATCCACCACTTCATAAGACAGCTCAATGTTAGGGTAGCGGTTACAGAAGCGGGCCACATCTGCCATCTGGCCGTCAGACAGCTGAAGCAGCGCATTTCGCTCTTCATCCTCCATCTCCATGATGTCGAACACACTCTCCACTCCCTGCAGTGGCATTCAGAGGTCAGGGGAGGAGAGAACACATGCTAACGACAAATGAAACGTGTTCTTAGTGGCTGCTAAAGACGTGGCTTCAGATAGAAAACAGCCCGTATTTGTCAGGCTCTCTAGCACCTCGATGTGTAACACCTTCAGAGGAACCAGACTACTAGAGAGCTCCCCTCCTGTGACTCATGCCCCACAGCCCCCACCCCAAGTCCAGGACACTCAGCTCTCAGGCTTAGCCAGGTCTGAACCCAGCTCACCTTGTCTGTGCAACGTTTGATGTGCTCTGAGGTGAAGTGTGGCAGCTGTTTCAGGTATGAGTCCTTGGACCACATGGCTTGGGTGACCATCTGGGCCAGTTCCATGGCTGCCAGAGCAGGACTGAGCCACCCATTGCTGGAGAGGACGTCCACACAGGCCTGGATGAGC